AAAAAAAAAGGGTGTTTACATTGACATTTTTATGAAAATTACAAAAAAGCTTTTGTTTAAATGTTTCGTCGTTCTTATGTTAACTTTTTAATTAACCGACATTCAATGGGATACCGATATTCACCAAAAGTGCTGATGCGTTACACATCAAATACAATATAAAAAAAAAAAAACACTTTTTTCTTTTGGTAGAAAGTTTCTTCTTTTTTGAAGTCATCAATGTATTTGCCGCTTTTGAACATTTGCTGAACAAAAAGAGATAAAAAAAGAAGAAAAACATAATAAGATTAAATTTGGTTTTTACAATTCAAAAATTGGGTATATTATATTTGTGGTAACCAAACAGACACTGCAGCACAAATATTGTAACTCAAATTTTGAAACGTTTTTTTTGATTTTCCCCTAAAATTAAGATGCACTTTTGTCACGTGTTCAAGTAAACTTTTCCAATGCCCTAAATAATCTCATCAACACAATTATAAATCTGGTTTAATAAGTGGTTTAATATGTGTAACATTTACAATAGTTACTACTCAAAAATATATCAATTAAAAAACAGTTCAGTAAGCTGCTGGATAAACCTAATCGTAACATCAACGCATTGAATCCCCTATAAATTGCTAATTCCATAATCGTAACACAATAAGCTTCTTTATCATACATTAATTTTACAGCACAACAGAATCAGATGTAACAAAACAGTTTCTTATATCAACTTGTAAACCTGTTTATTTTCAACACAGCAAAGTGTTTAATCAACTTTTGAATCTCAATTTGGAACTCTCATAATCAGTACTTATCAAAAGGCATCTTCAAAGCTAGTAATAATAATAATAATAATAATAATACCAATAATATTGATATTAATAATAGTAATAGTAACATTAATAATAATGATATTAATATAATAATGATAAGTATTCTAATACGAAAAATCAATGAAGCATTTGTATGTTACTCACAAAAAAAAAAAAGAAAATAATACTATTTCCTAAGCAACAAATTTCTGTTCTGCTTCAAATTTTTTTTTATTTCCTTTTTTTATTACAAATAAATTAATGCTCAAAAAGTTAACTAAGTGATATGAGTTAAAAACACATAGTGTGGTACCCGTAAAAGCACAGTCGACAGTGTTAAGTAACTACACATTCATTTCAAACGACTTTTTACAGTTGAAAGAAATCAAATAATTCGATCATACCATTCTCGACGTGGACGATTAAAATGCTCCTTAAAAAAAATACTAAATTGAACATTGTCTAAACTTGAAAATTAGCTAAAATTTTTCTTTCTTTAAACTGTTTTTTTCACAGCAAAAACTTTTTGTAGTTGGAAATTAATTTGTACTTTCAACGGCAATAAATCTATCAAACCTTTTCAATATACTGACAAATGCAGTATGAAGTGGCACAATGTTTTGGAGCAAATTCAGAAACACCTTCCAACGGCCGAGTAGGAAATGTTAATTTCTTCTAAAAATTTACCAATTTTGATGCTACTAATAAGTATTAACTATTTTAAAGTAGAATAACTAAAGTCAGTATTGATGACTGAAAAACTTCAAACAACCAATATTCAACACAAACCTTTGTTGTATCTTTCACAAAATTGTTACTGTATTTTAAAACCAGCGTTTCAGAAAGTTCTTCAACTTCTTTATGGCTCATTTGCTTTGGACCGTTTACAGCCATAGCATTTTGCTGCCTGATCAGACGTTGTACATCTGGCAAACATTCCCCTGTCCTTATAAACATAAAAATTATCTAAAAAAACAGGTTCAAAAATTATGTAATAAAAAAAAAGTTTTTCAAAATTAGTTAAAGTATTGAAGTGATCATAGGCTTACCACTACTTTATGACAGGAGAGTACACCACGGTCGTCAATTCCAGCAAGAATATCACTTCGAACTAGGAACTTATTTGCTGACTGTACACAGTGTCTCAAACCAATAAGAATCTGAAAGTAAAAAAAAAAAAGAGAATTAAACAATGCTTTCCAGGAACTTACAGCACCAAAAATTATCTGCTTCTAAAATGCCGAGAGAACTTGGTAAAAAAGTGTATGAGGAACCAAAAAAACATAATTTTTAGCATCTTGACAATACTTTGTTAAAAGTTAAATTTGAAATTCTAATGCTAATCATTTGTATCGTGTAAAATAGCTTTATTACTTGCATATGTATAGATAAAACCAGCATTAAATTCTTTGAAATTTTTGTGCGGCATTGAAAAGGCGTTGGTAAAGAAGCTTTAGAAGAAGGTAAAACAGTGTAGCTTACATAAGTAAAATCAGATTTTTTTTTTTACACTTCGAAAGGTGTTAAAAAAGAGTGAGAGAAGTGGAGTAGAACCAACGTAAGATAATGCTAAAGTAGCAGCAAAAGCTTTTTAAGTACGATAAGTCGCAGATTACCTGTTTCTTGATGACCAAGACTCCAATTATACCAGCAAAAAAAACAATCATCCATACAAAAGTAAATATAAGGATTGGTAACCCTGCATTTGGCTGTGAAAGAAGGATAATCACAAGAACTATAATAGACAGTGAGACCCAAAATGCAAGTAATCGACTGTAAAATATGCAAAAACACCTGAAAAATTTTAACTGGCTAATAAAAAGTTGCTAAACTGACAAAAATACACTATTTTTCTTTGCTAATTATCGTTTTAGTTTAGATTATAAAAGCAGGCATCTTGCATAATGTCTTCTAAAAGAATCTAACAGCAAATTTATAATTTTCTCTTTTATGATCTTTTATGCGCAAACCAGCTCTATAATTCATATACGTAAAAAGTCCAACTAACCTAAAACGATAGTCATTTGTAATCATTTCCATTGCCGTCACGTAATCTTCAGCAGGTAACTAAAATAAGGAAGTCTAGTTTCTTCTGTAAGCATTTGGACTTTAAAAACTGTTAACTTACAGACAATCGGTCATCTGCAAGAGTTTTTGGCATACTGTATGGGTTGTACCTTGCTGGAATAATCCATGCCATCGAAGTGTTTTCCGGATAAACAGCACAGAGTATTCTACCATTCTCTAAACAGTTATGGCGTTAAAGAACAGTCTAAAACCGCACTGTAAATCAGCTTCTGTTAACCAATGCTCGACCAACTTCAGCAGTGAGTCAAACAGAAAATTATATTTAAAAAGTCAAACCTCAACTTTTTTCTCTGGTAATGTAAATCAATGTATACAACAGAAGCGAAAAAACCCAACAGTACCCAGGCAATCAGCTTCCGAAAATTGCACCAGAAATAGTCTAATATACTGCATTAGCACTGTTGCTCACTTCTACTTAGCCATTCACAAAACTAGCTAATCTTTTATTCATATTAACCGGTACTTTTGCACTGCAAAACCACCGAACTTCCTGTATGGTTGTGTCCCAACAGTTAGTTAGACGAAGTAATCTCCCATTTCAGGTGAGTCGTTTAATACAGTATGTTGCAAGTATCTTAAAAGAGTTGAGAATATCAGGTATTACCTCAGTTTCTTATAAAATAATTACTTTAAAAAACCAAAAGTGGCAAAATAAAATAAGTAGCAGAAGAGTAATAAAAATATCAGTTTTTAAAAACATTGAAAAAGAGAAGGATAGGATTCTTGGAGAAGACTACTTATATGACAATATTTTTTTCCATAAAGTAGTCTTACAAATAACTAATTTTGTGACAGTTTATTAGCTAACGACAACTTTATTTGCTGTCCAAAATAAATTGTAAAACTTCATTGAAGACTTTTAAATACTAATAATCAGGAAAATTTAACTGCCATATCAGAGGTATTGTTTTCTATTATTAATTTGCAACGAACCATATTCAACAACCAACGTAGAATTGAAGACCACTCTCTAAATCGATCTATGATGTGCAGTCAGTCATAGAGCTAATTGACCGCATGTCGCTAGTACAATCCCAAATCAAGTTAGATATTTATTTTAAAAAACTAAGCTATCAAAATTAAAAAGTACATTCTAAAGAAAACCTTACTGAATACTCCTCTCTCAGCAGTTGTTTGCCGGTTA